AGCATATGTAAAAGATTGCAAAGCTGCAAGTGTTGAAAGCTTCTGTGAAGCTTAGAGTCCTCCTTCAGGGGCAGAAGGCACATTTGAAGAACAGCATTGCAAATTACAAGCAGCCTCCAGGCACGATGAGATGATTAGCAAAGTGCAGGCATGGCCACAGCCAAGTGAACTCTGGTTCATAACAACGTGATTAGCAGTGATTGAAACTTAATTTCAAATGCTGCTGCTGATTATGATATTTCAGCAACTCGCAGGAAGAGTCGTGTCCCAAAAGAATAAGTCTTTGCTGAAAGACATTTCTGACACAAAGAGCCCAGCACAGTTTGATAGGTTTTGTTTGGAGGCTTTGAGTGGCTGTGATTGCTAATCTGATTCTCAGAATTAGGGATTATCAATTCACTTTAGATTTGATGTAATTAAGTTAGAAGGATATTCTGAAAAGTAGACATGAATTCTGTCTACTGATGAAGTCTCTGATTCAAAGAGGATCTAGAAAAGAAACTCTCAAAATTTTCAGCGAAGATATACAGATGAGCTCTTCTAAATTACCTGTTTTACTGAGGAAGAAGTTTCCTTGCCAGGCATCAGATGATTTGTGCCAAAATGCTTTTGCCATTTCAAAATCCCTACCCTGTTTATGTTAACTTTCCCACTAATTTAATTTTTCCCTTCTATCCTCAGTTTCTTGAATTTCTATCATAAAAATTGTTTTGTATCACTACACTGGTTTCTGATCGTTCAGAAGTCTTTGCCAGTCAAAATCATGTGTTTTTAGTGCTGATTAGCTATATAAGCTCAATTATTAATACACTAACAAGATTGCTTCAATGAATTTAAATAATCTTTTCCTAGAGGGAAAAAAATGCTGTCTTTTTCTTGGCATTTCTTATATTTAGTCGTTCGTGCCAGTTCTTGTAAAAGCTGCAGGTATTGCCCTGTTTCTGGTAGTACGGGTGATGTGCCAGTAGATGGCAAGCTTTACTGCAGACAATTTCACTGCCAAGCCTCTCATCTGCATCACAAGGATTTAACCATGGGGCAAAATGCTTGGCACTAAATCCTCTCATAATTATATTAATGTACCAGTGTTTATAAAGAGACTGATAATTACCTCAAGTGTCAGTCAGTGTAAATTCAAAGCGATCAGCATTTTGTTTCCATTTTTCTAATGTTACGTACAAGTTTTAAGACTCTGTCAGAACCAGTCACCACTGAAGTGACCTTAATTGCTTAAGAATGAAATCAACTCCTCTGCATACCCAAGATGGAGCATGAGGTCCTTCCTGGTCCTGCTGCAACCTTGCCAAAAATCAAGCTCCCCAAAACACTGAAATATTTCTGACCCTTTGAAGCTCTTTCTGCAAGTGGAGTAAAGAATATTCTTTAGGCCTCCACTTAAACTAAGCCAGACTTTACATCGATGCATCACAAAGCATGTGGGAGCTTTCACCTGCTACGCTCTTCTTCCTCTCTCATTTCCGCACAGCTCTCAGTAGTTCAATAGGTTTCCAAATCCACCCTTCCATGTCACTCCAGAGCAGCAGGGAAACTAGGGCAGGAAAGGGGGTAGTGTAAATAGCTTACCTGAAAGAGCTGGAAAGTGGGGTTTTGCTAGCAGTCTAGGATCCAGTGATTATCTGGAGCACTCACATCATTTAGGAATATGATTTTTTTTTTTTTTTTATGTCATGGACATGTTATCGTGAACTCCATACCATGATAATTAATTATGGTATGATAACTGCATACCTTTTGATGATCACCTTTTGCTGCTGAGACAAAACAGCACCCCTAACAAAAACGCTTAGTTCCAGCCTTTAAACCACAAGTAATCTAAAACTCAGCAGTGGTTACATCTCTGCTAAGACCTTCATAACTCCTGTGTTCCTCAAAAAGTATACAAATAATAAAAACACTAAATGAACAGCACATTAAAATTAAGACAGAACTCCAAAATTATTATTGCTTCACTGTAAACTTGTAGTACAAATCAGACAAAAGTATCCTCTAGGGATACTTTATTGACTTGTCTGTTGGCAATTTCTGCATAAGAAATTTGTTTTGTAAAAGCCAAAGGAGTTGAAATTAAGATACTGGTTTAAAAAAAAAAAAAAAAAAAACAGGAAAGGTTTTCTCTTTCATGTTTTTTTCCCATAGTGGTGGCACCTTGGAGACAAATTGGTTGCCTTCATTACAAACAGACAGTGCTCTTTTAGGGCTGTCTTTCCTCTTGTCTCATTTCCCATCCACTGTTACTGCCTCACAGAGCTATGAAGCTTTTTAACCAGTGCTCACAGCTAGTATGCTGCTATCAAAACTGCAAACTGGCAAACGTTTCATGCTCTCTCTCACACAGTCATTATAACAAACTGAGCTGTTGCATGCAAATTATCTCTGGAAAAGCAGTAATAATTAACTAAATTGCTTCTCATGTCACAGTGGTCCTACATAAGGAGCACTCGAATGATTGACCTCATCTCTTGTAGATTACACAGTACAATACTAGACAACATTATAACTTAATCATAGTTAATTTCTTCAAATTTGCAATGTTTCCTCAAACATGTATTTTAATGAATTTTAAGTAGCTACACAGACTAAAAGGAAAGCTCCCTAAAGTTGTGTAATCCCAAGGAAAATGAGAGGTGCAGAAGTTCCTAAGGACCATAGTTTTGTTCCTTTTAACTGTAATTAATAGATTGCAGCAAGCTCTGTATTATCCAGGCTAAAGAAAATAAGCTACATGTATGGGTAATATACAAAATTATGCAAACCAGGACATCAGAACATGAGGGTGTGCTGAGGAGGAGAAGAGACCATGTTGCTGCTGATTGTGGTGCAAGTCAGTGCACCATAACCCATGTCTTGAATTTTGATTCAGTCAGACCTGGAGGAAATAGAACTGACATCTCAGTAGGATGAAATAACTGCTCCCAGTGCAAAGCTGATAGTTAACAGGCTTGGGGATGGTCATTTTAAAATCAGGCTAAATCAGAAGTACTATTTTTGTCCTGTTTTCCTTTGAAGAACATTAGGTAATGCTCCAGTTCTCCTCTTGCAAATCAACATTTAGCTTCCTTTCTTAATTAGATCTATCAAAGCCTGCATTTACCCGGCAAAGACCATATCTTTTCTAGAAATTTCTCCACTGCATCTCTGGTATATATGAGCCTGACAACAGCTCAAAATATTTCAAAACAAAAATATTTCTCACATTTTACTTATAGAGGCAACACCTCAAAAGAAACAATCAAGAAAATATTCCTATGTAATCCTTAAGAGCACTGTTTGTTTTAAATCATGGTGTCATTGTTACTGTCAATGTTACTACATAATCTTTATTCTGCTTTTTCAAACAAGTATTAATTAGTTATTTAACTTGGTAAATGTACCCATTCATGAAAATCAAGTCCATTCAGACTCCTGCTTTAAATTCTCAGAGACACTGTTGCTCTTGTGTACACTTCAAGTCAGAAAGTACAACAGTGATGCACAGATAACTTTTCCAAGCTTTCCATTTATTATCTTGGTGTCTTATCTACACAAGCAGTCTTTCCTCAGCTAGTAAAGCCTTCTGACACTTTCTTTCTCCACTCCTCCCTCCTAGGAAAAAACAGATTAAATTATATTTTTATATATATATAATATTAAAATACACATTATAAAACACACCCTCACCTACCAGTTTGTATTCTCTGACAGTCCTCGGAGTTTGTTTTTTTTGCTGTCCTCAGGTGACCAACTCGTGCCTGTCACTTTTCCAGCCAGGGATCTGTTCCAGGCCTTTATCAGCACTGCTCTAGCTCCAGTTATTGATAAGCATCTCTACTCACTACTTCTCTTTCAGTAGCCCATCTCCATCTCTTTTGTGTCCGCTCTCCTGAATCTCGGTTCAAGAACTGAGAACTGGGAGACTGATGGTAGGCGGGTCTGAATTTCTCTAAGAAGTTCAGCTCATCCACAACACCTTGTTTGTATAAATATACCCTGCTTTGCCATTTGTTTTCAAGTAACTGCTGTAGAATACACAGACCCTTCATATATCCAAACAAGACTCAAGAATAAAAGCATAAACTGAAAAAAGGAAAAAGGGTGTTTACAGGACTCTCACATAGATTGTTTAATGCAACTTCCATTCTCCAGCTCACTAGCCTTTCCCTTCTGAATTGCTATCTTCTCTCAGAAAGCTTTATTTCATAGAGTCTTGGCCAAGATACCACTGCTTCAGTGTATGTCAGTGGTGGGTTCTCAACAATGCTGGTAACAGCTCACCGCTCCTTGACTGGGAAGTGAGAAGTAGCTTTTGCTATTGCCAGCCTTTACAGCAACAATGGAAATCCAAGTGGCCTTTAATTAATGCCAGGAGCTCAATTCCCAGAGGGTAAGGAACATGTTTACACCGTGTTCACCGAGTCCTTCCAGTCTCAGAGGCTGGAAGGCACTCAGAGGGATATTTTGCATCTCAAGTGTTTGGGAGATTCACTGTGGTGGAAATGCTGCACATCTGTCAAATTACTGTTTAGAATCAGGAAATCAGAATCAAAGTGCATGATGGTTTGAACTGCTTACTTGAGCTATAACTGCAGCTGAGTAGTTTAGCTTTGTGAAATCTAATACAGAAAAACTTCAACCACAAAAGTATTCAAAGTGGTATGGAACAGAAAATAAGGGGGTTCAACTCCTTTCTCCAGTAAAAAAAAAAAAAAAAAAAATCTTAAATATAAATGCATTCCATATTGTTGGATATCAGTTGACAACTACCAATTTTGTTGCAAGTATACTCATAGTGCTAAAAAATCCTGACACTCCAGACCATGGCGAGAACAGGAAATTACAACCTACTCGATTTTAAAAATTGTTTTCATTTGACATTTATTAGTCCACTAATGCATCTCAACAGCCAGCAATTGGAGCTGTTGGTTTTGAAGCACAGTTGTGTTAAGAACTACACTTCTTTCACTCTTGGTTACTCCCAGTGCTTTTTTGCATTTCCTTTCCAGAGTCCCTTTGCACGAGGAATGATTCCAGGTGCCTGTCAAACTCTTGCCAAAAGAACTCTACATGCATTACTGGTCATAAAGACGACCCTTGCCGTTGTGCAGAAGCATCAGTGGACAGCATGGAGGAACTCTGTAATAAAACCTCCAGTCCTTGCTCTTTAAACCCCTGTCTTCAAAATGCTACCTGTTTGGGCTCTGCTGGAAACCTCAGCTTTACCTGTGAGTGCCCCTGTGAAGCCCCTGACAGCGCATGTGACACAAATCCTTGTGAGCACGGAGGCACCTGCCAAAACGGCCTGACTGGGCCCACCTGCCTGTGTAGTGCAGGATACACAGGTACACTCTGCGAGATGGATCTGGATGAATGCGTTTCTGAACCGTGCCACAACGGAGCAGTGTGCAGGGATGGGGTCGATGAATATTCCTGCTACTGTGTCCCGGGCTACCAAGGCAAGCACTGTGACCTGGAAGTGAATGAATGTGTCTCAGATCCGTGCCTGAATGGGGCAACGTGTCTTAACCAGATAGGACACTATGACTGCGTCTGTCCGCTTGGGTACACAGGTAAGCACTATTAAAACAACTTTACCTTTGCATCATGTAGAACCCCCATAATCCGTGTTCCAAGTTCAACTCCCTCAACCACACATTTATTTAGCCATATCTGCATTACCACCTTGCCTTCAGCCTCAGCACCAGTGGCTCATGGTACATTATGGATTACTACATCGCTGCAAACTACTGGTATCAGAAAGAGAAGGATTAAAGAAATCTCATTATTTACCGAAATCTACACAGCAGTTTTGTGAACATCAAGCTATGTTACAGGGCTAGGCAAACTTTCCTTTTAAAAGAAACATTCTCAAAATGCAGGTCTTCAGGATGCTATACGTAGTTTTTGTCTGGGGATCAAAAGCTATATTTGACAGGATTAAAATTTAGATCTAATATGAAAAACTGTACTCTTAAACCTAGATGTTTCACATTTACTTCCTCTCCTCTGCCCTTCTCAGAAACAAAGGACTTATTTGCAACTAGAACACTATCTAAGTTACATAGAAAGGGAAGTGTTATGTTCCCAAACTGCCCATTTTTTGATAATCCTATTTTATGTAGCTCCATTTTTAAGGTACAGGTGTGATTTTTCTTCCCCACTTCCTCCACTGGAAAGCATATAATTCTTGTCAGAAAACAGCTCCCTTCAGATTTCAAAGCTGTATTCAGGGGTAGGACTGTGAGAGGTAGCACACTGAATCATTAAAAGGAGAAAAGGGGAGGCATTTTAGTGATAGATTGCCAGTCAGGTAAGCAAAGGAAAAAAAAAAAAAAGAGTCATACAGCAAAAAGAGGACGAAAAAACATCTATGGCTTCAAGTGATTCAAATGAATAAGACATAAGAGATGTGGTTTACAGCTCCATCCCCAAATCCCTATGCAGGAGGGGAAGTCAGAGGTAAAAAGCAGCTTTCCTGTGTCTGACACAGCACACGTTGGAAGCCAGCCCTCAGTTAATATCCCTTATGAGCATGGAGAATGTTATTTGAAGGAAGCTTGTTACCTTCCTGCCACCCCGCTGCTGCCAGCGGGTGTCGGAGCCCAGGCCAGCTGAGGAGAAAACTACACAAGTGGGGGAAAGCCGAAGAGCAGAAGGAAGGAAAAACCTATTAACAACCAGCATGGTTACTCTGCAATGATCAGACTCAGCTCAGACCTCCTGTTGTATTCAGGAAACTGTATTTGTTTAACTGGCGCTGTTAGTGGGGTCCAGGCCTGGATCCATAGCCCAGAAACTCAGTTTGAAAGAGGCAGAATATACACCTTAGAGACAAAGAAAGAGAAAATATAATGAAATAGTAAAGCCCAAACAAAAAGAAATCAAAATTTAGGTCAACACAAACTGCTGGAAGAAAGTCACTCTGCTGGAGTCGCTCCACTTTCATCATGAAATTCTGCTGTTTCCTTGGCTGATGTTCTCCACTCTCACCAAAAATCAATCAATGTCACCAAACACTCGACACTCTGCACAGCAGAATTAAGAAACGAGTAGAGAACCAAGGAAGGAGGTCTAAAATGCAGAGCAGAAGAGGCTGCAGTGTTTTGACAAACAGCTTCAACAACACTTCCAGTACCAAAGAGACTAATCATGGTAATTCTATAGAGGAGTAGCAGACCATTCCTCCAGCAGTAAAATATCAGCTTTAAAAGACTACTTAACAAAATGGTTTATCAGAAGCATTCTTTTTTGTTGGTTTCTTTGCACCTTGCTGTGAGTTGTGCTAAATGCACAAGCCAGAGGGATTACTGACTGAAAGCCCCAACGTGTCCTCCCTGGTAATAAAACCCCTCATTTGCTCTGTCAGGGGATCTTGCCAACCATTATTATCCTGGCCTGACACCATGAATTACTGTGGGAATTCATCCATCTTCATCTTATTTCCCTAAGATGTAAAAAAGTTTTATCTCCTGATTTGCAGGTAGAGAACATACGGTTATTCTACAGCAGCAATGTTAACCAAATGAATGAGTTACTGGTTGAAATTGCTACTAGTTTCACAGCCTTTGACTGCTATTTTGTATGATTGGCATGCTGCTGCACTTCTTAAAATAGCTGAGAAATGTCATACGTAATTCTTACACAAATGGAAGAGGTTAGAATGCACCAAGAGCCAAAGATTGGAAAATTTAGCATGAAATTTGCAGTTTCTATATAATGTTCTGCATGTGTGAAATTATTTACAAGACATGTGCCACACAGCTGTTAAATAATGAAGCTCAATTGGTTTGTTGAAGTTTTGCTGGCTACCTTAATCAATTGCATTTTTTCCTTCATTGCACTAATTGCACTTGCTTTTAATTCTCCCCAACAGAGCATGGTGTAAGAGCCTGTTATTATCCACAGCTAGGTACATTAATTACCTTCCTGAAGCCAATCCTTCATTGCCACTGAACGTTTCAGTGTGAACTAACAGGAGCGCGTGGCTGTTTCACAACCTAGTCTCAGCCTAAGACGGCAGCAGGAGAAAGTGTTTCAGTGGTAGACAAAATAGGTGCAATGAGCTAGATTTGTTCTTTTTGCAATACCTTTTACTATGATGTGACCACCTCTGGGATGAAGCCTGTAGAACATGAAATCATTCCTGATAGGCCTCTAAATTCTCATTCAGTATTCTCATCAATAATGTATATGCCATGCAAATATTAAAAGTAGATGCATCATAAATAAGCCTTAGGCACTTAAAGGCAAGCAGAGGCAAAGCAGCCTCTATCATGGGATGAAATACCTCAAGTACAGGTCTCACTTCCCAACAAGCTCACGTCCATATTGTTGTGGGTATCAATAGCAAATAACATGGTCTATCCAACAGCAATTGCCAGCAAAGTGAAAAGCCTGTTTCCTTCCTCAGCTTTTCAGTTTCAAACCAGCACTCCCCACCTTGTGTCCCAGCCAGCCTGAGCAGAGGATTCAGCCCAGGGTTATCAGCTCTGCTGAGATCCTCAAGCATAAGGCTGTGACATGAGAGGAGTCCAGGGGTATTTGTGACTTGTGCAGCTAAAGATCAGCAGTGGGCACATACATCCGGGGTATGTTTGTTGCAGCTCGTAACGTCACAGGACCAAAATCTCTGTTTGGCTTTAGCCTTGCGCCTCTCCTCCAATTTTGTCTGCAGAGTGCAGTGTAAAACTTGTAACAATTTACACCTGTGACTGCACACAGGTGTGGGTGCTTATCACACACCTGCATGCAAGCAGGGGTAAGCCTAGCTCCAAGAAGCTAATTTCTTCCCTCTGTCCAATTTTTGATATAACTCTCTTCCTGTCCCTTCAAAAATAGCTATGTGACACTCTCCATCCAGATGACGACATGCAAGATTACTTTATACAGGCTGAGGAATTTGGGCCTTCTGCCTCTGCTGTGCAGGAGCACAGCACTACAGTTCAGGAGAGCAGAAAGGGTGACCTGCTTACCAATCTCCAGCCATACTAAGAATGTGCAGGTCCTCCTGGAACTACACTGAGCCTGCAAATCCCTCGTATCTTTGACCAGAAGGTGTTTGTACACTGTACCTATAGGCATCAAAGTTTGAAAACACTGGCTGCAGGTCCTTCATCCCCTCCTCTTTTTACTTTTTATTGACTGGGCCTGCACAAAGAAGCACACAGTAGGACTCACTGGAAATGCAAGCAGTGTAAGAAATAATCTTAGTTCTTCACAGTAACTGCAAAAGTTATGAATATGACTTCTAAGCACCTTCCCAGTTTTTCAATTCAAACCGCTTGTGTGGTTTGGTACCTGCTGAGAGGCTCTGCCCGCACTAGGATGGGGTGCCTTAGCTCGTGATGGTGCAGCCCTGTGCAATAGCTGCGGCAGGGCTTGCTGGAGCACTCCTTCCTCTCTGGCATATGATATTTGGCACACAGCATATTTGTGACAGAATGTTAGACTGAGGTGAAGATGCAGATCTAATCTTTTCACCTCTCTTCTACACATATAAGAAAGCCTGACAGCCAATTCAGCAGAGGCTGGGAAGGAATCCCCCCCATTTGCATGGCACATCGCATTGGCTGGACGCATTATACAGAGAGAAGTTTTCTTCTGAGGCAACATTGCCGAAGGCAGGTTACTGGGCTTGATAGATTAAAGACGTGAACCAAAACAACGACGCTATGTTCTCATGTTAATTGTCAGGCTGTTCTCAGGCCTGTAGTTTCAAATTTGGCTGAGCTGAGGATCAGTCGAACAGTGCTTGTTTTGTCACATGATTTTTAGTGTTCACAGTAAGCTGTTAACAAGCTCTGGCAGATTTACGGTCACTAGACACACTTCTGCAAACACATTGTTTATAATTACAGTGAATTCACAGGGCAATGACCACAGAGGGACTGCTTACTATATCTGGATGTAATGTACATTACCATAAAGCCGTAAGGGAGCGTTGCTGTGCTGCAGTCTCGCGGCAGACTCCTGCTGAAAGTAGTGGTTGGACGATCAGTGAACCTTAAACTGGGGGCACGGAATTGGCAACTTCCCTCCTTCCAGTGTTCCCTATGTGGTCTCAAGGAACTGAAAGAATATGTTCTCTAAAATTACAGCAGTAATATTTCTTTACTACTGAAAAGATGAACTTGCACTTTAAAGCTTAAATACAATGAAAAACACTTGTGAGTCAACATCACCAAATTTTGCTTCGGCATTTTAAGATATTTCCAGGTACATATCCATTGTACAGGCATTTTTTTTCTTTAAATAACCTACATTCAAAAACATCAAAATAAATTAGTAATGGAGTAACACTATTACTCAATATTATTAATCTCAGTGTTATAAGAAAGATCCTCTGAGTTATAAGGTACAAAGTTCACAGCAGCACAGAGCTGGCAAAAACAGCATGAAGAAAGAATTAGAGGTGAGCTCCTAAATAAATTGCTAGGGTAATACCCATCATCATGTCTGTTCCCATCTTTTGAAAGTCTACCCCATCATCTTGTACTGAAAACTTCACCCTTACAAAAAAAAAAAAAAAAAATTAAAAAAGGAACCCATTCTCAAGGCTGCAGTTTTTCTTTCAAGTAGGAAATTCCCCTGCAAACTATTTACAATATACTATGCTACTTTGTAAGCCAAATAAAAGATATGCAAGTCTACTTCAAAGCAGTTTCTTTGTTATAACTTGCCATCTTGCATCTGTTTTGTGGCTGATATTGTAGCTGCTAAAACAAATTGACTTGGCAGGTATTTAAAAATATTACTCTATTGCTCAAAACTCTAAATAAGTGCATAAGCATACCTGAGATGATCCAAGAAGGAGCTGCCAGGCAGTAATCACGACATTTTCTTATTGTGTCCTGGATTGTGCTAGAGGTAAGAAAAAGGAATGTATATTTAAGCTGTCAAATATCAAAAATAAACTCACATTAGAACGGACTTAGTTACATCAAGTACCTCTGAAGAGCAGCTCCAAGATTCTGACCTGTTGCAAACATGGCACCATAGACCCATTTATTTACACATTGCTTAATCTTTAAAAAAAAAAAAAAAAAAAGGCAATAAACCACAGCTAAACAAGCCACTTCCCAATGAATTCAATTAACTGTGCAGCTTTAAATGAGCTCTTATGAGATCAATAAATTACTAGTCACTTCTGTATTGTGTAAATAGCGATAGTAGTGGTTTGAATAAACTGAAAATTAACTCGACTTGTTTCTGTGTTCAAGCTAACATTAAAAGCGAGTTTTCTACCTGTTTTTGTGAAAACAGCTGGCTTGTTCTTTTGTACCTTTTAAAAATAGGTAATTGCTTAAAAAAAAAATAAAAAAATTAAGTGACTACTGTATTTCAAAGCAGTCCTTGCTGAGATCTCCAAAACTCTCTCTCAGCTCTGGGGTTTGCTTATTTTCTTTTGTTTTGAAGGTACAAACTGTGAGCTGGAAATAGATGAGTGCTCATCCCAGCCATGCCTGAACGGTGCGACCTGCCACGATCACCTGGGGAGCTTCTCCTGCTCCTGCCCACCGGGGTTCCTCGGAGAGCTCTGCGAAACCAACATCGACGAGTGCGCCAGCCGGCCCTGCCTCCAGGGGGGACAGTGCATGGATGGTGCCAATGGGTATGTCTGCAACCCCCCAGGTAACACCAACCCGAGGTGTTGTCAGCCTCTGCGCTTGCAGGTGGGAGTGCTGAGGGAGCCTGCACTGCCAGGGAGCTCATTTCGCTGCACACTGCGGATTTCGCTCCTCCATCCTGCTCTAATTTCAGTTTAAATTTGAAAAAGGATTAAAGAGTGCCAGTCTGCTGTCAGAGCCAACAAGGCAACAAAGTGTTTATGGCAAAGACTGACCGAAACAGTGCATTTTTCATATTTGTACTTTAAAATTTCACAACGTGCTGTTTGCCTGCCCCTGAGGATTGTCATTTAGGCATGAATTCTGATGCTTATCAGACTTTAGTTTCCAAGAAAGATGTGACATTGTATAAAACTGAATTTGCCAACAGCAGCTGCCCACACCAACAGACAGAAGCATTAGAAAAGAGAGGCAGAGAAAAACTGTAATAATAGTAACCATAGTGATGGATATCATTAGGAAATATGTCAAGAACTTTACAGGCATATAGGACAACAGCTATTGTTGAAAACAACCTGCAGTGCATGAGCAAAGAAATAATAAAAAAAAAAGAGAATGCAAGGCAACAGAAAATAGAAAAGTGAGCTTCTCCACCTGCTGTTATTAAGCCCTCTGCAGAGGTCCCACTGCAGCCCAGGCAGCCAGAGCTCTGGCATTCACTCCCCAATACTGGCTTTGCTGACTCAGCATGAGATTCCCAAAATGAAAACACTTATGTATACAAGCCCAGTCTGAAAGTTCCTAAGCAGGTGCGTCTCTCACCAGTATAAGGTTTGTCCTTTATTGTGCATTTTCCAGTTTTTATAAAGCAGTTTTGAAGATTTTAGTGCCCCAAAAACCAGTCCAAAACTCACACCAGCAGAAGGTATGCTTGCCTCGAACCAAGGGGGAATTCTGGGAACGAGCTTTTGTACAGTGTGGTGACATGGCACCAACCTCGTGGAGCGCCTTTTCAGCAGTGCTGAATGGCTCTGAGCAGGACAAAGCAATTTATTATTTCCCAGTGTAGCTAAAGCATGACAGCAGGGAGAGGGAGGTCACCTTGTAGCTGAGTAGCTCACAGCAGACCCACTGCGTAACCTGTAAGCCTTTTGAGGATACACACATGAGGTGAGCAACTGGGATGCTCGTTCAGGCCAGATCTAATCCTGTTCATTTTTCTCTTTTTAAAGCTGAGGTACATGTAAAACAAATTTTAATTGGCTTGTAATACCACAGGGTATCTGGAGAATGATTGGAGCTCTTGCCATATTTGTTCTCTGATGAAAAGGGATAGACGACAAAGCAGTTCAAAACAGAAGGGTATTCAGCAATTTCCTTCCTTCCTTTTTTTTTGTGTTTTTGGGGTAAATGAAGAATTTTAGTCTTTAAATAGTAGTTTTCCTTTTCTGACTAATCTGTAGTACAGCTGAGGCTTTTGTGTCTGCCACCAGCTCTCACAGAAATGTGCAAGGCAATGGATTTAGCATTAAAAGGTGTCAATACAAACACCAAACCAAATTCTCTCCCAAATTTCAGACTGATCTTCCAGTGAGGTTTCATGAATGCAACAAAGTAGAATTTGATCTCTTAAAAAAATCACTTTCATGTAAGTGAACATTTCTTATTTAAACACAACTGCTCATTACAAAGCGAGTTGTGGGTGTTCCTCACTGCTCCATGATTCTCAACCAAAGTGAAAAAGTAGCCAGAGCACAGGCAGAAAAAAACATTTCACCACAAATCTGAACAGCACCAAACTGAAGGTACATGGAAGAAGTGTGTGAAAAACACAGCAGAAGAGAGTGACTTCTGATTTGAGAACACACCTAGAGGTGACCTCATCACTCTCTTCAACTACCTGAAGGGAGGTTATAGCCAGGTGGGGGTTGGTC